TACCGACTTGATGGTGAGGTCATACGGTCGAGGTGGGTGACTTCTCTAGGCCTTCGCTGTCGTGTCCCACAGTGATAAACGGATCTACCTGCCTTGACTTATTAATCGTCTGCAGGCAGTGTTTGATGGCAATGATGCGGACTTGCCTAGATATTGAGTTGGTTTCGCTGTGGGGAAAAAGTAGCTTAGTCTGTTGCTGCTCTATACAATGTTGGATAGGAAAGATAAACTGGTTGAACCAGTAAAAATGCACTATCGGTTGAGACCAAAATTTGGGTTCAACCATTGCAATTACACACTTTGGAATGCGTAGGTCCCTCTGCAATGCCGCCCAGATTTTACAATTTTGGGTAAATGTAGGATATCCTTGTACTGTTCTAGTGAAAATGATACCACGAGACAGAGCTTGTCAAATCAAGACGAGCAAGTATAGATCCTGGCGTGTGCGACAACATGCAGTTGAGTAACAGCGAAAATCCAGGAGTGTACGTATGTGCGGTCAGCACCCACTTGTCGATAACAGTTTGCGCTCGACGGCCGATGTATCAACAGCTCACACTACTATGCCATGGTCGGCTACGGGCTGCGATATTGCGCAGCTCATCCTCTTCTGTCATGCAAGTAGAAAACAGGACTGGTACCAAAATCTGTGCATTACCTTGCAAGCTGCTTTCAATGGATATGGTACTTAAGCCGCTCGGCAACAATCTATGATGTCACCTCCACATTCGTCACAAGCATCCCACTGGTACATGAGCTATTCGTCTCAGCTAGACAGCCATCATGCACCTAGAGAAAGGTTGGACGGCCGTTTCGTTCAATGGGGACTCATCAGTAGCGCACATTTGCCTAATCCTGTTGGATTCGAACCCACGGCCTTACTGTTACGAGCCAGCGACTTATGCCACTTAGCCGTGGGTGACGGCAGCGGACCACGATGCTTGATACCAACTATGGCATAGCGCGGCGTACCCCCCACTGTCTTGCAAGTTTTTGACGTGCATATGACAAGGCTGGCTTCCAGTGCCACGACATCCTTTGCAAGCCGCTACCTATCGAGGTGGCATGTTAACTGCTAAGACCATTGCAAAAGAATATTGAATAGTAAATGAAGTCAAGGTAAGCTTCATGTACTCGAATGGGTATATTTTCGGCATTTTACAATATCGACCGCGAATGAAGTAAAATGACATTTAAAAATGCAGAATTTTATACATGGATAAAGAAAAGGGAAACAGTGCAATGGAGTCACTCAAGTAAAAGCATCCGCATTCTTGTGCACTGAGTGAAATTTGATGAACAAAAACCTCGGATTATTTTCTAGCCATCAGGGTAGAGTTTGGCGCAGACATTCCTTCAAGACTGGTTTCAACAAACTCAAACGTTCGTGGTCAAGAGCGACAAATCGCTGTATCCGAACATAATATTCAAAATATAGTGAGTTAAACGGTCTTTGTGACCTTGGAAGTGCTCTGGACAAAATTGTTGTCAAAACCTTCTACAAAACATGAATATCCCCAGCAGACAAAGTAAAAACGATGTCTAGTGAGAAGATAATGGCCGATTTGTTGGTTTTGGTGTAGATACTGTGCAGCTAGATTCAGGCTAACATCCACTACAACGAACAATGAACACAGATTTATTACTGGTAAAAGCAAGTGCTTGACACGTCCCGTAGGATGGTTGGAGTGAATACGATGAAATCAAAATATATGTGGGTCATCTACCTAAAATCTGCCGAGGTGAATACTTTGATAAATAACCTCGGTGTAAGATTTTAAAAAATTGAGCGTAAAATTTCAGAAATAAACCGGGGTGCAGTGGTTGTTGATATAAGGCGTGAGAAAAGAAAAATATGGTCCCTCACTTGGGTCCATTTGATACATAAATCCTGTAGAAAAGTATCCTTAGCGTAATCCACAACAGAAGAGCTTAGGTAACAAAATGCTGGGAGCTAAGAGCAATATCTAATCGTTTTTTGGAAACGTCCAAGGTAGGCGAGGATACAACTGAGTCTGGGAGTGCGTTCCAGGGTTGGCAAACCCGAAGGGAAAAGTAATTACGTCGGCACTCTAGACAGCTATATTGTTCCTTCAATCTTAAGCAGTTACCCCTGAGCTGCGTGTTGTAGCTAAGTTTCAGCAAATGGCGGCATACGTGGTTGGGGTCACTCAATATCTGATACGCTAATATGAGATCGCCGCGCAGCCTTCGATGGTGTCCGCTGAAAATTCCCCTCAACTTCAGCCTTCGGTTGTAAGAGTGATAGCGCAGGCCCTTTACATTCTTTGTTGCTCTTCGTTGTGGTGACTCTATCGCTTCTAGGTCGCGCTTCAACCAAGGTTGCCAAGCTTGGATAGCGTATTCAACATGCGGGCGTAGGTAGGAATTGTGCATCATTGAGAAGATTGATGAGTCAAATCTCCCGAATGCCCTTCGCAGCATGCCGACGTGCTGGTTGCCACTTTTCGTAGCTACCTCAGCCTGTTTTGAACAGTTGAGGTCGCTCTGTACGATCACACCAAGATTCCGTTCCTGGAAGCTGGTCTGCAATCCGTTTGTCCCAAGCAAATATGTGTAGTTATATTTATGGCGTAATTGCACAACGCGACATTTGTCTACGTTGAATGGTAGGGCGTTTTGAACTGACCAGTTCGACACCGTGTTAAGATCGCACTGGAGCCGTTCGTGGTCGTCCGGTCCTCTGATCCTTCGCCATATCTTGATATCATCAGCGAAAAATAGGAAATCGGAAGCAATTGATCTCGTCAAATCGTTAATGAACCCCAAGAATAAACGAGGTCCAAGTACCGAGCCTTGTGGTACATCACACACCACAACGATTGCATCGGACCGAGATTCCTGGATTCTCACTTCCAACCGACGTTCGTGTAGAACACTGATTATCCCACTCAGGTTTGGACGCCAGTGCTGTATTTCCGAAGCTCTTAAAGAAGAATTCGATGGTCGATCAAACGCTTTTGAGAAGTCCAGGTAGATAACATCGACTCCCGCTTCATTATCAATGGCTTCCGTCCCGTTAGTACATGTTATTAATAGGTTTGTCGTACACATAAACGCTTTCCAGATACTGCATCAGCGCATCTGCGCCAATTGATTCGTTTACTTTGGATAGTACAGGAAGTAGTGTTATTGGATGGTAGTTTGTAGGGTCAGTGTGGCTACCTCGTTTAGGTATAGGAGTGATGATCCCTCGCTTCCATACTGGCGGAATATGGTTCTCTTCTAGGTACCTCTGATGGAAAACAGCCAGTGCTTCTGTTAGATCACTAGCTACCGCCTGCAGAGTCTTTAGTCGGATGTTGTCGACTCCAGGAGAACTGTGGGTACGCAAGGATAACAATTTCTTCAACACATCCGGTAAAGCGCTGGAGGCCGTTTTTTCCTATTTAGACTCGTCAGTAGCGCGCATGGGCCCGATCCTCTTGGATTCGTGCCCATATCCATACTCACACGAGATAGAGACTAATGCCAATGAGCCATGGGTAAAGGCAGCGGACCGTCATAACAGAAATCTAAGTGCGATATAGCGCGGCTCATCCTCCACCGCCTTGCATGTTATGAACGTGCTGTAGACAGGGCTGGTCCCCAGAGCTACGACTTCCTTTGCAAACTGCTACCGATCGATATGGCATGTAAATTGTAAATACGATTACTTATTATTAGAGTAGTAGTGGCATTAGTCATTGACTCACAAGAGTAAGCTCGTGGTTCGAATCCGAGAGGATTAAGCGGATGCGCGCTACTGACGATCTCCAATGGATCGAAATGGCCGCCTGGCGCTTTCCCGGACGTGTGGTGGCTGTCTACCTGAACGGATCTGCGACGAATCTTTACCACAACAAATTGAATCTTCCTACTACTCTCTAAGGATGAACCTTGATTCGACGCAGCCGGTGCTTACTATTGCCTGCTCATCCCATTGTCCAACGGCATGCTAACACGAGCCGTTAACCCAAGTACACGGGTCGTGGATACGAATCCTTAAGAGATCGCTAATATAGATGTTTTTTGTACGTCAGTAATTTTCTGAGTGTGCATGGAGCTATGTAACTGGGAATTGAGTTCGACGAAGAACCCCACTCGAAAGGCCGTAATTCGGCTCTGGGCAGTGGCAAGCGAAACTTCAAGCGTGTTCACACACAGAACATAAGCGATCCAATCGTTGCAATTTCCGCAGTCTCAACCATATGATCCGAGATGTCGGGCCGATACTTACTGCCTTACTTCAGTGCATTGAATTTATGCACTACCTGCGTAGTGTGGCGGACAGGTGAGCTGGAGTCCAGACAATCCACCCAAATTTTCTTACGAGCATAGGACAGCTTCTGATGGCAGTCGAACTGTTCGCTGAGCTTGGCAAGTTTGTTGCAAACGTTTCGTCACCAATCGAGGTGACGTCATCAGTGCGTTGTTGAGCAGCGTGTAGCCGGTGGCGTAGCCTTGGGAAGCCTCGATGGGAGTGCATCGGGTATGGTGCGCATGCGCTTTTATATTTTCCCGTGTTTGGTCGCGGAGATGAGCAACCCTATTAGCTGGAACAGCTGCCCGTATTCAGCTTGTTGGACAGGTAGTCGATCTTTGACCTCGACCTCTCTGACAACGCACTGATGATGTCACCTCGATTGGTGACGAAACGTTTGCAACAAACTCGTCAAGCTCAGCGAACAGTTCGAGTGCCACTAAAACAACCTGGCTTGACCATATTCGCTCTTATTCCAATAAGACCGCTTCAATTTTGTCGAATTTCCCATCATAAGGAAGCAATGTTGATATCGCAACACAGCGAAAAAGCTCTCTAGTTATGACACCAATGTCGACCTTATTTCAGAGAAGTCATGAATAGACTTCTGAGTCTTGTTTCTATCTACAGGCTTATTCTGTTTTATCGCTTACATATTTTCCGCCGCCTTATCCCTTGCTTCTGCTGAGTTTCTTTTGTCATACTACTTTAGCCAATTTTTCACGCTTCACTGCAGATCGCTCATCGTTCATCTTTTGGTTCCGCGTTCGATTCTACGTGCCCGACCCCATCTGCCTGCGTGAGGAGTACACACGGTAAGACGTTGCCTAGGATACAACCACATCGCCGGTTCTGTCCGCTTAGTGACCCTGCCGTACATCTCCCGATTTTGACCTCAAGCATATCCACATTCGCCTTACAAACTACTATTCTATTTTACTTTAAGTGCACTATTGATATGCCTATTTATACCGGATAATTCTAGAGTGAATTTATACCAATTCAACTAAATGCCACCATAGACTGCGTGCTGTGGTTGCACTATTCAATTGGGTATACAAGTTCCTGTTTTTTTGTCACGTAAGTTCCGTCTATGGGTTAGTTATTAGAGGTACTTATTCGGGTATGATTATTATAGCACGCTTGGGACATTTGCCAAAAGTTTTCGTGGATCCATTTGAATCGGCTATTGTTGAATTGAGGTTCATTCCAATCTTAATCGCAGTCAAGTGTGAGATCACGCTTCAGGATCCATCCACACGACTGGTGCTTCGACTGAAACCAGAACGAGCCATTAACCATTTTGTCAGACTTTACCGTGGCTGGGTGGCATAGAAGAAAAAGCTTCGGCTGGTAGTCTCTGCGTTTTGCATTCGAAATATAAGTCTGTTTCTCTACCGAACGAATGTAAACAACTACGAAACTGGTCTTGGTACACAATATTGCTGGTGGGAACAACTAACGTATCCTCACTAAAAGGGATTAGTCGCGACAGGTGGCTTGAAACACTGCAGCGATGCAGAAGTTTAATCGGCTGTAAGCAGACGGAGGAGGAATCTGCCTAATGTCTTGCGTTGCAACTCATGTGACTGTAGTTGCTTTCACTTTAGGTAAACGGACAGAACGTAACGACATTCATTATCTTAGGGCTAAATTGAGGCCGGTATTGTTAGATGAAATATTGGACCGTCGACCAAATCAATTATGCTGTTGACGACTAGTTCACAACCACGTTCCGGTTGCTAAATCTACTGCTGTTGTTATGGTTTCCTTTAACTTATACGACACACACAGGAAGTTGGAGTGTGATCTGCACCGGCCACCCCGGTATCCGTCGACTGGAGCCATGCTACCTAAAACGCTATCAGTAACAGCTTTCAATTCTTGACTCTGTTCATACGTACGCACACACATACGTACTTGACTAGACTATTCAGCTTTGGAATAATTGAACTCCAGTAATGAATACAATGTCTGAGGAGAAAAGCTTCCAGAGGCGACACAGCGTTCAGTCTACCTAGTCTCCTCCTTCTTGTAAAAACAAGCAAACCAACTCCCATTGCAATCCGGTGCTTAGTGGCACACTCTTTCTTCTACAACGGAAGCGAAGCAAGCACCACGTCAGTCTCTCTGCATTAACGGAACAGCCCCAGAAATCACCATAACTGATATCTGATAGCTACAAGTTTCTATAACCATGGAAGCAGTTCCAACCTACTTCTAGCAAGACATAGTTTCAGGGCTGCTGCCGTATCACCTACCAACAAGTTGGAGGAGAACTTGTTCAAGCGGCTTACTACAAGGTACGTAAAAATTTCGCCCAGTTACTTCAGACTAGATCTGCGTTGTTTCGTCCCCAGTCAACGTCATACAAATGACCCGATGTGACCTGACGCACAAATAAGTGAGCTTGATATCACCGTGGCTCACTTAAGCTTAAGCGTATTAAGCGCATCACCTCTCAGTCTTCTTCTTCCAAGCGAAACCAATCATAAGCTAGCCAGACGCTTTTAATAAAACCACCCACATTGACTTTCAATCATCATAGCTGCCACAGATTGTGGCTTTTCTATACGGAAATAAAGCGCTCGGGTCTAAAACACATTATTTTGGTTGTGGCTAGCATTTAATTTATATAATAACAGTACGAGGTTTTCCTGCCGATGATGAACGTCGTGTTTGGACTACATCCGGAGTAATGATTTAGGACTTTGGCGCCTTGTCCTGATGACAAAGTTACCCGTATTCAGATGCTACTAAATGTGCGACTGGGATGGCTCGAGGCCTACTGGGAAAGAGAACAGATTTAGTAAAGAAAAATCGACGTTAAAAAGTGTATTGTCTCCAGTGCATCGCCGATCTTGTTTTCAGCCGACACGTCAAATTTAATGGTTTGGAGGGGGTGAAACTCATTCCAGCCGACAGGTTTTCCCACTAATACCTAGCACCTACATAGACATTCTAGTTTCTCTTGTTCACCATGCATTTCCACCTATGTCATGGAACGCTATTAATACCACCCTACACAAGAGTTGCATTTTTAGCCGGCGCCGTCGTTTATTCTGTATCACAGTATTGTGACTTTGAAATTATATTTGACAAGGCTAATAAGGCAGTTCGTTTCAGAATTCATCGTTGATTTTCGGCTTCCCTTTTTCAACTGGATAAATGATTATGCTGTTTCAAGCATGCGTTTCACCGGTACGGCACCGAAGTTTTCAGTGGTTGCAATTTGAGTAACAAGTCCGCAAGCTTTGTGAATTTACTCTGTTATCTAGAAGACCGCCTTGCTACTTAAGCAGGTCGTATGGCGGCACTACAACGCTAAATTCCCCCCCCCCCCCAAGAATAACATTGACTGCAGCCATAGAAATGTGACCGAATGTGTGAAAGAGCCGTTTTCCATCCGCACGCGAGAATTACTCATGTCCAAACTTTTCTAGCTTTACTGCGGTAGCCCCTGATGTAGGTCTCATGCTAATGGTAAGCGAAAAGTTAGGACCGTTTAGGTTGAACCTACTCTCGACAGTTATTGTCGCTTTTTTGCATGAACCTACATGGTGTGTCTCCATGTAACCCCCTCCGTTTATAGGCAGGTTACGTCACGACCTTGTACCTTACTACTTTTAAGTAGCTAAATTAGTTTGCTGTACTCTCCCGATGTGCAATCTGAGACAAAATGATTCACAGTCTCGATGTCCACTATCTGATTCGATGAGGCCCATAGCAAACTTCTCACTTCCTGAAGCCTCTGTGTTGCTCCCAGTTCCTGGTAAGTCAAGCTGGGAAGAAAGAGAAAGGGTTCTCCTTATTGCCAGTTTTAATCTTTCCCGAGTGCACTCCTTCTGTGACCAGATCCCACGAGTTTATAATCAAGCATCTTACCTTCTCAGTGCACGAGAATAGTGAATCTGTTAACACCAATTAATTAACGAGAATGAACATTGGTCAACGTGCCAAAATCACCTGATCAATAAACCAGCGTTGTTCAGAGTCGATAATGCGTAGTCATTGGCCTTGAAATTAGTTCTCTGAGATTAACATCACGCTGTGTATCGACGCCGTCTCGTTCGCAAACAGCTTCGTGTGGCTTCTTTTAGTGCACCTCCCATAATTTGTCTAGAAGTAGTGGGACCAATCCAAAATGCGGTCCCAAGTTCGATGGTCCCATTTTTAATGTGCATGTGCTCAACTGTTGCGGAGTCAGGTTGGCGTTTTTGCACACCCTATCCACGGTGGATGTGCTACCATAACACGTTCTTATCCCCAGTGTACGAGAGGTGTTACTACTTCGATTTTGCGTGGATAACCTACAGCGTAACGAAATCGTTCGATATTTAGCATGAGTAACCTTCGTCCATACTGATGTCCACTTTATGCCGAATTTAGCGAACCAGATGCACTTTTGTCTGTGGAACATACCTTTAGAGTACCCGAGTAGATTACATTAGTCGTCAGCTGGGACGAGGTTGCAATGATCACTTGGGATCTCCGCGTGGCGACGCTCAGTCATTTTGAATGTCATGTAGAAAAACGGCACGCTGACAACTGAAACAGCGTTGAAGTTTGTGGATAGGAAGTCGGCCAAATTAGTTCTATCAGCTTTACATCAATGACACATATCAGTAATATCAATATCCGTTTTGTTCGACAACAATTTTAAGGTTATGGTTAAAAACCTCACTAGGGCACCACAACCCTCTAGGGGATTGGGTGTGTTCGCAACTGCCTGTACGTACTCAGTCGTGAATCGCGGTGGCCATTTACGCCTGGCGCACTCAATGCGATATGCCGCAAGCGTGCCATATCGACGTGAATCACGTGATAAAGTTAACAGAGGTGCTTATGGAGGTGTTCACCACCTGTTCTCAACGAATTTATGGCCATGCCGCGCGTTACTCACCCTCCACTGGTTTCTACACAAAATAACGATCGAAGTGTGGATTACACGCCAACACTGTGGTGCTGAAATTAGAGGATCTATTCTCTGGTACTAATGCATAAGCCTCTGTTCACCTCACTGAGAATGCAAATCACCACACTTCTTGACTTTCCAAGGCTAATCTGTCCGTAACTTGGATGTTCGTTCTGCTTCATTTTACTCAATATGGTGTCACAGGTGACTTACCATACGCAACGTCGGAATTGGACTTGATAGGTGCACGACTGTCAGAGGATTGGGGCAGCACTTGACTAGCAGACTAGTGCCTCGCCAAATTCCACACCAAATTCGGCTTGCTATTGCTCAAACAAGCTAATCAAGCCACCTATATTGTTGCCCTTAGTCACATTTGATCAGTGGCCTGGACCGTGGTCCGACGTCAAAGGAGTTTTGACCGTGGCTTCAGTTTAAAGTTTGTGTTTAGTTGGAAACAATTTATTGCTTTGTGATCCTTGCCTAGCGTCTTCTGTAATGGACCTACTCAGTCAGTGAAATTCTGTTTCTAAGGAACTAGCCAGATAGCCATTGAGGTACGAACTTGTTAGGTTCCGTGAATGGACACAACAAGCACAGTGATCTGTTTAGGCAGCTCCACTGATTGGCGAAATTTCGGATGTGTTGCGTTAAGTGTCCCGTCGGTTGTTTTACTGAGACAAGGAAGTAACCTCTTCGGCCAATAAACATCTTATTTATGAGCGTGCGTAACCAATATTTATCGAGGCTTTTTGGAGGTTAAACGCGCTATCATTTTTGCCGCTTTGACTTTGCTGAATAAACTGTTTGTCGCCGAAGGATCGACAGTTACGACACCCCCATGCTTAGTTTCAGGGGTTTTTTCTTTCATTGTTTGCGCTTCCACGGTAGTCTTCGTCGTCCT